CATTTAGCAATATTTTAACGAGGTATTACCAATCCACGTCTTGGGTTGAAATCAGTCAATCAATATGTGTTAAATGGTTATCCAATTTCCCAATTAAGTGCCTGTAAAGTGGAGGTAAGTAGATTCTTTACCTGTTTTCTATCTACTTACCTTTGTGCAATAACCATGCGATACTTTACAAAAATCTGAACAGTGGAAAACTGACCATATAGAGAAACTACCATTAACAGCAGTATGTTCGACCTAATATCTAAGAGATTATGACCACGCTTTGAATTCTCTTACATTAAAAAGAGTAGAATGAAAAGCTTCATTCTACTTCTAAAATTCTTCTAAAATTCACATAGAGTTTGCTATTGATTCATACTGCAGACAAAGACAAATCACTTCTTTTTTATTTCAGCTACCAAATAGCACTTAGAATCTCTCCAGACTGTTGTGTTATGAACTCCCTGACTATTGAGAAGTATTAAATAAAACAAGTTTCCTGTGTTCAAACAAATCATCTAGAATAATATCAAGTAGACTTCATTTTCATATAGAGTAGGATGTCAGTCTACCCTCTGATTGCACTTGCTACCTTATCCTCTCCTGGGAGAACGTGTAAGTCTGGGGAACAGTGGTAATTCACACCGGTCGTCATGAAGGAAAGGAATTGCATTACTCTCAGGTTTTCCCATTAATTCTTTTGCAAGGAGTTTCATGGCTAGAGCTACCAGTCAGGAGCACCAATGCTCTCTACTCAGTAACTGCCTAGCATTTCAGTTTTTGAGAGAGGTGTCCCTATGAGTGGGTGAGGCCAGGTTACTTAAAGGCTGAATGACCTCTACTTACTTAATACGCTACTTGGTGGGATGTGCTTACTAGGAATTTTGCAGTGAATGGGGAATTGGGTCTGATGAATGCAGGATGACTTCTTTCTTTCCAAGAATGAGCCTCAGTTTCTGCAGGGGAACTACGTGCTTCTGTGCTTGGTCTTGAGAACGTTTTTATTATTCATCTTGATTTCCTCATTGGCAAATAGGGACACCTATGATAGCTTGATCAAATAACTATTGTAGCCTGATCAAACAAGGAACCTCAGAAAATGAATGCTCCATATGGCCTCATTTGTTAACACTGTTATATTTATGGGTGGGACAAACACCCCATACACACACAGACACACACACACACACACACACACACACAGTTAGTAGTGCGAGGCCTCATTCCTTTGCCAGCTTTAACATCTATCATTGCATTCCAGATCCTATATGATTTAAATTGATAATGAGTTACAGGCTTAAAATTATATGCTTTGGGATGACTCATTATGCATAGGCATACTTCTATCATCCAAGTGTGCTTCTTTTAATTAAAGGACTGGGACGCTTTTAGAGTGTGGATCTGTTCGTCTAAATCATGGGAGAGTATTCCTTTCCTGGGTGAGCCCCGAGTTGTGTTGCCCTTAGTGTCGCTTGTGGTTCAATAAATCTCATTTCTTTTTTTTTTTTCTAGTTTCTAGTTGGTATTGGTTTGATGTTGCTGGTATTTAAAACTTAAACAATCCTAAATTTTAAGCTATGTTGACTTTCCAGGAGGGCACGTCTGAGCCAGGATTTCCACAAGTGCAATTCCATCCAGGAGTTCGGAGAGAAATCAGATTTGGGTCTGCTATCTCAAGCCTCCAGTGTGTCCTAGAGACTAAATGCCTTGGCATCCCTCCTTCTTTGATTTTTCTTTTTTCTTCCATTTCTTCCAAAGTCCTCTTTCTTCTCTTTGGAACCACTGCCATGGTGGCTTTTCAGTGTATTTAAACCTCAAGAAGTAAAGACACTTTGTAGTTTCTAGAGCTAATGTCCTGTCACTGAATTGAGACCAGGTCATCTCTGCTTTCAAAACCTGTACTGATTTTCATGATAAAGGTGTTCTGTGTTAAATAAAGGGTCCCACTGCAGGATATCTAAGAACCTTTGCATCTTAGGAGTCCTGGGGTTGTGAAAAATGAAGTGATTGTTTATATGAACTGGCTAGGAAAAAAGATAGGAAGAGTTTTAAATTATGTAATTTGTTCATGAAAAAGGTTTAAGGGCTCTGAGTCACGTTCAGCCCCTTAATTCTACACATACGCCTCTCATTGAAGCTAACAGCTACCATGATATCTTGATTGAAGTCTTTGGAGAACATACTAGAATGTGCTGATAGGTCGTATTCTATCACACTCTAACTTAGGCGCTTGCCAGGACAGCACACTTCTCTCTTTGGAAAAAAAAAATTAATATTTGCTTGATTTCCTGATAAAAGGAACACTACAAAAGAATATTGCAAAACCTTGGAGGTTTGGCAGGGTTTCCCATGTGGGTGGAAAAATGTTGTTCTGAAGCCAAACTGGAATTGCTCATGAAAATATAACATAAAAAAATACAATTAAAAAAAAAAGAACCTCAATCATGAAAAAAAATGATAAATGTATAAAACAACAAAGCTTATGGGCTTTACCATCATGTATTATACAAATACGATGATATATTCATGATCTTATGAAAATGGCTAACCTCTGATATTAGAGATAATTGGATTCTCTTTATTATGCCGATTTTAACCCTTATCAGATTCCCGCTCTGTTTGGATCTATGTCTGTTGAGTGTTGATGTATTTATAGCTTGCTTCTACCCTCATCCCACCTCTGCCTTTGGTATATAGTCTAGTACCCTTGCTTCTCAGAAAGGAAAACTACTTAAAGCTGTAAGATGTGTTAGGTTTGTCTTTATTCTTAATTGAGCTTATGAAAAATTTAAGCACTGGGATATCCCAAGTCTAGAGCTAAAAATCTCTCCCTTTATTCCAGCTTCACTCTTTGAACTCTTACTCTAACTGATTTTCATATGTCCCCCTTTTACCCAACCATAGCCTTTTATATAAGCTTTGGCATAGTAATGCTTTCCCCCTTATGCCACATGATAAATATGTGGGAGGGTGAACAGGGCTGTAAAAGACTGGTTAGCTGAATAGAAGATTTAGTGTTTTCAATGAATGGTTATTTTTGGTTTTGTTTGATTTTTAGTTCAAAAGGTATATACTGAAGTATTTTTCCTTAGCATCATTCCATAGATATCTATCCGTCTTCCTGCTTATGACTATCTGTCCTTTCCATAGAACACTGCAAATATAAGGGATGTGGCTTCAGAAATTCTCTATGAAGGAAAGATGGCTAATGTAAATTGCCTTATCCTATGTCATAGATCCTGGGGTTGTGTATTAATAGTGCTTCTTTGTTAGATGGTAGAGAGTCAATTTCCCCTAAATTAGAGAAGGTTTAAAAAATTTTTTTTTTTTTTTTTTTTTTTTGCTAAATGAAGGAATGGAAAGAGAAGATGTCACAGATTAGGTTGGAGATGGTTCTGAAAAGGGCATACCATAGTTTAGCAAACAAAGGAAGTCACTCCATTCTTTTGAACTCTCTGAAATGCATAAAGAGTTCAGAGAAGGGATATATGAATGATATACAGATAAGCTGGAATACATGAAGGAAGCTTAAAGATAGTCAATGGAGAATTTAGATGGACGTTGAGACTACTGGCCCGAGAGATGAGCTCAGGTTGTCATATCTGAAATGTGTTGAGGAGGTAATAATTCTGTGTTCTGGTCTATTTCTGATGAGTGTGGAGGAAGGTGGCTAACATGGCTAATCTGAAATACGTTTTGGTGGGGGAGGGATATAGCTCAGTGGTAGAGCACACACTTAGCATGCATGAGGTTCTCGGGAGTGACTGTTAAACTCTATAATTCCATTTTGTTTACATAAAAGAAGGATCTAAGATGTTTATTCTGGGTGAATGGAGATATTACTTCACTGATGGAAATCGAATCATTGAAGGGAGATTAATTTTAGGGAATAAGACTTGAAGTTTAGAGTAAGGGTGAATTTAGAGATATCCCACAAAGATCTGAAAGTTCAGAAAAAAAATCAAGAGTTGAGGTCTAGAGTAAGACACTGAATAATCATTCCTTAAATTTAAACTAATAGTGGTAAGTTAGAAAATAGCCTGGTGGCAGGAACAGAACACTCCACCGAGCAGTCAAAGATAAATTTTATCGTGGCAAAACATTTTCCTCTGTCAGTATGAGACAAAGGTGAAAGCTGGAGACTGAGGATTTATGGAGAGCAGGAGATATGCTGAAGACATATTGCCCAGGCTTATACCAGCTGGGGTGCCAGGGAGGGGTACAGGATCATGAGCAGCTCAACGGTGTTGCAATTCTGGTAGATGCCAAATCCACAGAGATCAGAAAAGTGGGGGAGAGTGGTGGAAATTCTGTAAGATTCTGAATCATATAGAAGGGTTCAAATCTGAATAACTATTTGAATGTAATTAGGCAAGTTGTTTAAGTTTTCTGAGTTGATTAAATGAGATAACATTTATGAAGGTGAAAGGTAGAGAGTTCTCAGGTGGGGAATTTATATTTATATATGTATTTGGAAAGGTGGGGCTGGCTAAAAATTGTATCTCGGGCTCATGCTTTGGGAAAAATGAATTTCTGAAACTTTGGGAAAAAAGTGAATATAAAGACAGATGTATTTACTTATCTATTCTTATTCATTTATTTATTTTACTTTGTCTTGTTCCTAAAAGGACAAATGAAGATAGTTTGCAAATATGCATATCCTAAAAAATTACTTTGCAAGTATAGTGTACAAAGGTACCTATAATACAAGATTAAAATACGTAGAAATTAGGTTTAAGAAAAAGGAGGCAAAGGGAAGCTAAGGTAATAGACCAGAGAAGACCCCTCAGGTGGGTTTAGAACAAATATATAGCATCATGAATTTGATAACTTGGCTAGAGACAGTGTATAATTTTGGCTTGAAATTTTAGATATAGTTGTTTCATATGACATGGAGACATTTATTAGGAACTATCCTGCTGGCCAAAGGCTGAGAGAGGGATGATGCAGGCACATTCTGCTCTCACATCTCTTAGCAGCTTGTGTAAAGCTTGGCTTAATTTGTTTTTCAGGGGCATGTTTAAGAAGGTAAAGATGTTGTGAACTTTTCATGCTGTTCCTCCATTCCTTTGCACCTCACTGACTGTTTTTTTTGAGGGGAACCCACAGATTGAAGCCATCTGAGGGGCGTGGGAGGAAAGGTAAGCGTCCTTGGTGGTGAAGGACAGCAGTGATTGGGTTGTTTGTTCCCAGGATGGACTGGTTTACAGAGAGAAGCTGAGCAGGGGTCAGAAAGAAGAGATTGGACATCTTAGCGCCTTCTGGATTGGATCCTCATTTTGGCATCAGTATTTTGTTTGAACTGAATTGCCAAAATATTAGACACACCCATATTTAAATATAAACATGCTTCAAGAATACATTTCTAAGCCAAGCATACATAATGCTTTAATTATCTGATCTTGTCAGTCACCCACATCTTAATTCTATTCCTGGTAGCAGTAAATGAGTGCCAGCATTAACTCACAAGATCGTATGCCTTATGTCTGCACAGCTTTAAACATTTTAAAGTGTTTCAGGGTAACTTCTATGGTTTAAATATGTCTTTCCCAAATTCACATATTGAAATCTAACAGCTAAGGTGATGATGGGGTCTTTGGGAAATGATTACATCATGAGGATGGAGTCCTCACCGATGGGATTAGTGCCCTTATAAAAGAGACCTGAGAGAGCTCCCTTGCCCCTTTTATCCCCACATGAGGGATACAATGAGAACTGTGACCCGGAAGAAAGCCCTCACCCAACTCCACCCAGATCCTGAACTTCGAGGCCCCAAAACTGTGAGAAATAAATATCTGTTGTTTATCAGCCACCCTGTCTGGTACTTTGTTTTGGTAGCATGAACAGACTAAGATAGTAGCCTTTCTCCACATTTCTGATTCTCACGAAAACAGTCTGAAAAAGACAGCATTGGTATTATCATCATTCTCATCTCATGAATGAAGCAACATCTTTAAAGTGTTTAATTTAGTCCTCAGTTCATATTTCTGGGAAGTGATAAAGGTAGAGTGAGATCTTTGTATTGTCTTTTGTGCATACATGTATGTGTGTGAGAAGTAGAGAAATCTGTGGGATCCTGGAACAGAAAAAAATTGATGGTAATAAAAGAAATTGGGGAAATCCATAGTTTAGAAATGTACCAATCTTGGTTCTTAGTTCTAACAAACTAGAATTGTTAAATGAATCTAGAAATGATGGTCATGAATCTAGAAACAAAGGAGGAATATCTGAACAATGACTCTTTTAGGAATACCTGAGTTCTACAAGAACATGAGAATTTCAGAAAAAGATACTGAATAAATGGTCAGGGACTTATGGGGAAAAAAATGGGAAAAATGTCATCTAAAAACATAGAGTTAAAAAGAACTAAAGAGAAGGCAATAGTGTCAGATGTGACATCCCACTGCCTACACGTCTACAAGTCATTCCTTGCTCACTGGACCTGCTGTTTCTTTGGTGTTCTCTAGCTCTGTGAATGGCATTACCACCACAAGTTGCTAGGCCAGAAACTGGAGACTCTACCCTCTTCCTGAGCCCTCTAAGCAACCAATCACTTGGCCTCTGGCCTCCTGACTATCTCTTCCATCTTTTCACTGCAAAGTTCACGCCTCCAGCATCTCTTTCCTGAACTGTTCCCTGCAATAGTCTCCTATCTGATTCCCTGCTTCCTGTCTTTTCCTCCTTTTTCTTATTCTCTAGAATCTTTTTTTTTCCTTTTTCTTTTCTACCTTTTGGAATTTTTAAAGATAGAGAAAAATCCAAGGGAAGAGAATAACCATCATCCATATTCTAATCACTCAGAATTAATCACTGTTGACATATTATTTATATGCTGCCAGTTTTTCTTTTAAAAGAAAAATCACTCTTTTGTTTTGCAAAACCAAAATGACCCACATTCCATACAAAGGATTGAAACAAGATGAAAGAGTCACAGAGATGAAAGTTCAGAAATCACCTCTCGTCTCATGTTGCAGAAATGATCATCGCTCAATTAGAAAGCAACATTCTCGTTTTCTCTCAGTGCCCAGAGCGAGCTTTCTAAATGAAAACCCAATCAGTCTCATTGCCATT